TTTGTATTGATTGTTAAACTATACTGTATGGAAAATGATATATTACTGAAATAGTCAACATTTGAAAGTTGTAACATTTATTATTCCATGGACTAGTAACTAATAGTAATACTATGTTTTCACATTCTGTGACTTCTGGACCAGCAGGTGCTTTTTTTACACTATAACATTAATTAGTTACCTCTAATTAGGCAGTATCATTAATATTATATAGAGGTGATAAATATATTGACCAATGCACATGTGTTGTATTGTCAAGTGTGAATAATCCTGTGGGTAATTCTGTTAACTGTGTCATTTGTTAAATATTTTCTGTTAAAGGTGTTTAGGAGATGTTTTCAGGTAATACTCATTTAGTTTTATAAAGAAAAACAATTGTCTAGGATGCTCTACACGGATTGCTTCACTCTATTAGAAAAACAAAAATTTCAAAAATTATCTTCGGATCAATATTGTTTGAAGGAATTTTACTTGTTGAAATGAAATAACTGGGTTTGTATTATTGTGTATGATTTTCCATATTTGACAGAGCATATTTCGGAGGTTTGAGACCAACTTTAAGGAAAATTTCCTTATGTTCTTTGTTGTTTTTAGCACCTGTACTAAACAAAGGACAAAAAGGATGTTATATTGCAATGATTAAGGGAAAATTTCTCTATTTATTTTGAGACATTATATAGGTAACTCATAGTTGTCACTCATAGTCATAAATCAAAAAGGTAATAATAAGTTCGTTGTATATTTTATACTTAATAGTGTTTCTAGTGGAAATACACCTAATTTAATAGATTGATTGGATAGTAAGCTATCATTATATTTTGGAAGTTTTCTACCCAATAGGAATATTGTGAATAAATTTTGCTAGATGTGTTTCTCATTGGATGAACGATTTCAAAAAGTTAAGGTATATATTATGAGCTTATTGATGATGATGAAATTAAATTTATCCATATTGATTATAATCATACTGGAATAAAACAGTTCTATCAAGTTTTTGTTTTTCACATAGTTTCAATACCATATAGATATTGATTTCAAAGCCATGATTTATTTGCTTGAATAACAGTTTGAACTAAATATTCAATAAGAACTAAATATTCAATAAGAACTAAATATTCAATAAGAACTATTAAATGACTGTCCTTGAATATTTGGTATTTGTTCAAAGTGGAATTAATGCCTATGAGTTTCAGTGTTTGTATCCCTTTAATATCCTTTGATATTTGATTCAATAGAATTTATGATCGTTTCCATCTTTTGTTTGAATCAAAGTTTAAAAGGTCATGTTGTTTTTTTATCCAATAATAGATATTGTCATGATTATTTTTGGTAAAAAAAAAAAAAAGAAAGGTGTTTATGTTTTAGTATATTGATTGGTGTTATTGTTGGTCATTATGAAAACTAGTGAGTTATATTCCACAAGACTCACCCACTTGTTTACAGTCTTTAATTACTGTAGGTTGTTATTCTGATGGCAGGCAAGAATTTATTTGTATTTTTAAGTTTTCTTTTTTCTTTAATATTAATGTATTTTTTTAATTATTTGCTAAAATGGTTTAAGTCTAGACATAAAGATAATTGAGTCCCTTCTGAAATATTTTACATCAATTTATTATTGACTAATTTCTGGGAAATAGATTTTGGTATTTTATCTCGATTTGAGGATTTTGGAAAGGTAGAACCTGATATTCAAAATGATAAGATTAGATTATAGAAAGATCTTTATCAGTTAGTGTTGAATTATTAGATAGTTGATACGGAATTGACAAGCAGTCCATATTGGGATTTTCCCGACTTACAGGTCTAATTATAGTGCTCTATATAAAGCTATATATATATATATATATATACAGCTGATATATTGAATAGTTTATTACAAATTAATAAACCAACACATCTACTTTCTAATAAAATTAATTTAGCTTGAAGGATAGTTCTATAAATAGTTTGATAATTACTGTAATAAATAGTACTAGTACCGAAACAAATCGACTGCAGAATAGTCTCGATGATCTATAAATAACAGAGAGTGATTGGTCAATATTGTATAAATAAATGATGTTCTGTAGTATCTAGGAGAGAACATTAAGAGTAAACAAATACTATAAAAACCTTTCTCCTTTATACCAATTTAAACTTGTACACAGTTGAAATCTGACGGCAAATTGCCAGGTAGAGTTTGTTAAAATATAGTGTACTGTGAAGAATATGGAAGACAGGTCTGTATTATCAGGTTAATTATATGTCTCAGCTTTTAAAAACATGTTAACATTGCTATCTTTATTTGGCTTATTTCAAACCAATTCTTTTTTTTAGGTAGAATACAGGAAAACTATTTCTTTGTATCATGTTTGTAGTTTATTACTGCAGTATTTATAAAAGGATATTAAGATATTATCATTATTTGATATCACAATATAAATACAGTTGGGGCAGATACCTTCAAATTCTGAAATATTTTACAGTAATCTGAAAATTTGAAGAGGAGGTAGAGGTAGTGTATGAACTAAGGATGAAAAAAGTTTAGGATGTTGTGAAAACTATTTGCTCACATGTATCTGGTTGGTTAATTAGCTACTTCATCTTTGATGGATTTTGATGAAAATTTGAGTAAAATTGTTACTCCCTATCTTTTGCTTACAGGATAAAATTCTTTACAGAATATTTTCAATTTTAATGAGTAATATTGTTAAATGGTTATATTAAAGTGACAAGTAACAATTTTGACGTTTATACAAATTTTCAGTGTTGGACTGCAAAGGTGCAGGTAGTGTTGAATACTATAAATCTGCTGACTCTACAGTCTTTACTTAAATTTAGCAGCCATGTTGGCCATGTTCCATACTTTGTCTTCCTATTTTCCAAATGGTCCATACTACAGCAAGAATATTTTACCATTCTGAGAGATAATTGACAAGAGCTGATTTTAAACTGTCCATACATGTTTCTAATATAAAATCCATCATTCAGACAGATGGTTTGGAAGATGTTAAAATGAAAATGCATGATTGTGACATGGACTTGGAAGATAAAATTGATAAAATACTCTTTACTTGAACAATATTTAGGAGACTTTCTGGTGATATTAAATTTAAACCTGTGTTTAACTTAACCAGATAAAGTATGTGCTTCAAAGAGAGTGTAGAAAATGAAGGTATTGTTAAGAGATAATTGAGCTATCTGGTTATGACAGTTGAAAGAAAAGAGTAGAGATCATTATATTGACTCAGGCAAACTCTGTTATTTAAACTCTTTATTTTTAATTGTACTTTTATATAGTGCTGAGATCTGTTGTGTTTTGTAATGGTGGTATATTTTACAATTATTGAGAATTAATGAAGCTTTATTGTTTGAATTCCCACTGAGCTTATTATTATCTATTTTGATATATGTGTGGTTAAACATGATAAATTTATTTGGCTTCATTTTTTATCTGTGGCTGACTTTTAACTTCAGCTGCACAGGATATCTACCTTTAATTTATTGACATTTATAAGTGTTAAGGAAAAGATTTATTGAAAAGTACAAAGTTTTTTAATATGGAAATCACTTGATCAGTTTGAATATTTTTTAAATCTTGAATGATGTTTGGAAGTAAATTGATACATACTCCCTGTAATGAGAGTGGGTAAAACCGACAAGGTTTATTGGTTTCTCATATTCCAACAAGGATGGTCTTTGTTTTTTTCCTTCTCATCAAAGTGTAATAAGATAGTGATGATAATTATCTCTATTATGTTTTAGTTGATAAGAATAAGGATGGTATAAGACTGATGATCAAATTGTTCTGTATGAGATTGAGAAAACAAGAAGTACTCGGGCTATTGACATAAAAGAAAAACAGAAATTGTGGTGACAATTTTAGCAGAAATACATTATATTGTTGGGTTTTTGTACCACAATTACTGCTCTTATAAGCTCATTAATTTTTGTTAGCTACAAAAGTTAAAAGAAGTATTTGGTCTGTGGTATATAAAATATGATGTAACATGTGTGATATAGGAGTATTTTATTAGAAAATATCGTTAAGTTTATATGATATTGATATTTCTATATTATTTACTGTAAATAATACCTATGTAGGTGTAACATATTGATCATTATTACAGGGTTAGCTTTATATAGTGTATTCTGTTGATAATATCATGACAATGCCATGCCAATTAAAGGCTTAATTGTCATATAGGTTTTTTGTAAGCTGTAGACTTCTGGTATTTTTTATGACTTGAGGCAAACAATTCAGAGACATCGTCTACCTAATTATTCTTGTGAAATCACAATTGTGTTTGTGTTGAGCTGAATGATAGACATAACTGTACCACTTCACAATCAGTGTAGAAATGGATTTAACTCTAACTATAGAATTATGATATCATCAATATTATTTTATGGTGAATTTTTTTTTGAACAAAAACTGATTTATCACTCCAGAATAAATTTCAGCTATGACTTCAATTAATCTCACCGTATAATTGCTATTTGAAGGTTGAAAATGTAGTATTATTTATATTTCAGGCTTATGGTACAAAAAGGAGTAGTTTGTTTAGAATCTGATGGGGAACTGTTTGTCATGTTGTGAGGCTGAAAGCCATCAGGGTACAACTAGCTTCTCTCCTGGCTCTCAACCATTACAACAAGTCAACCGTTCACGAGGCCTAGTTCAATATCCAACCTCTGAAATCAAAGAAATAAAAAGACCTGTTGATCCTGACAACTCCAATCAGAATCGTGTTTCAGTGACGCTTACAGAAAAGAAAATGTTTCCCCAGTATTCAAAACTCCCTCCATTAAAACGTCCTGGTAATGGCGAAACTAAGCGATTATCTTTTGTATCAAAAGATGTGTCAGAGGCAAAAATACTTCAGTTGTTTGAAACTTACAAAGAACCAGATGAAGATCTAATTCTAGCAGAAGGTATTGAACATTTTTGTGAAGATTTAGATGTTAAACCTGAAGAATTTATTGTTTTGTTAATTGCATGGAATTTTAAAGCAGAAACTATGTGTAAATTTACCAAAGATGAATTTGTGACTGGATGTAAGAATCTCAAAGTAGACTCCATTAAAAGTATGCGTTCAAAATTTCCTGATATGGAAGCAGAAATGCAAAATAAAGAATGTTTTAAGAATTTGTACAAGTGGACGTATAAGTTTTGTTTAGATTGTGAAAATGGACAGAGAACTTTACCTGTTGATGTAGCTATTAGTTTATGGAAATTAGTATTTTCTCGCTGTGAACCTACTTTATTACAAGATTGGTTAGAATTTCTAGAAAAACATCCAACTGTTAAAGGCATTCCAAAAGATACATGGGACATGTTTTTGAACTTTGTGGAACAAGTTGGAGATGATTTAACTATATATGATGACACAGAGGCATGGCCTAGTCTTTTAGATGATTTTGTGGAACATGAAAATGATAGGAAAAATCAAAATGTAAAAACAGACTAGTGTTTTATTTATTATAATGTTATTAAGATTTATTGTTTGTGTGCTAAAATTGACATCAAGTTAAAGTTAATAAGATAAAACTGTTTCTGCCTGAACTTGAAGGAAAATTTTATTTATTGAAAATTTTTACATCTTGATATAGATAGTGTTTTGGAGCAGCAAGATGTGAAAAGTAGCTATTCTATTGTGTACTTGTTTACAGACTGACTGACTGATGAATGATTTGTTGATAAATAATATCCATGCACAGTCAGAACTTTAACATGAACAGCCTACTTTTAACCTGGGTACAATACCAGATTAAAACAGCACAGCTTTACAGTGTGTCAATTTCTACCTATTTGACTGCAAAAGAAAGTAAACAGGCCACTTTGGTACCTTTCTCAATGTGCATGGATATTTATTGTCCATATTGATAATAAAACACAAAGTTTAATTTTGATATTGAAACTTTTCAGAGTAGGCTCCCTTTAACAGGTTTGATTGTAAGTTTATTTGCTTAATTCCATTTAAGATATCTTCAACATTAAATGAATTATCAGAAATCAACATTTTAGATGTAAATTGCCTGTAGCTGGAAAAACAATAGTCATTAGATCTGCTATAATCATTAAATTGTCATTTTGGCAACCATTTTACATGTATATTTTAAATTTTTTACTGCAACACCTACATCAAATAATTAACTGAAATCTTGCTATTACATAATCATGGATCACGTCTGCATCTGCATGGCAAACATTCTTGCCAACTTGCATAGAGATCAGTTCCTATTAAATAAACATGCCATGGAATATGTAACAGATTGGCTTATATGCAGATTTATATGTTTTTGTTTTGTATTTTTTCCATGAGTAACTACAATCATGATCTGTTGTATTATGTTATATATTGTGACTATGATATACAATGGCAAATGTAGTAGAGGAAACTTGAAAAGAAACATCTAGATTTGCATTTAAATCCAATTGTTAAGTGATTGATAACTGTTAAAATATGGAACTATAATAGCTGATGTGCTCGATTAACATGGGCATGCTATATCACATGAATTAGATGTATGAAAGTATATGTTAATGTATGTTTTATTTATTGCCTTGTGTATCTATCAGGTGTAGAATCAAACCAAGTGATATTTCATCACTCTAACTTCCCCATTCTTTACTATTTCTTGCATACTACTTCCTGTAGTCCTTTTATTGTTCAATATTATAAAACATGTGCATTATCATTACTATCCTTATCTACAAATTTATGTAGATTTTTGGAGTTGTCTCCCATACATAATATTTGTTTATTACTAGAAATATCAACCTTGCAATATACAGGTTACACAACTCTTTTAGACTATACAATTTTTTATCAGGTGAATATTTTGGTATCAACAAATAAAAAAAAACAAACAAATTTGTCAATACAATATTTTATGCTTTTTAAATAATTTGACATGCTGACTTTTGAAACTGAAAAACTAAAACCACTCTCTTAGGCTATATATTGACAAAAGTACAGTTGGTTTCTGATATTCAATGTACAAAAGGACAGTTTTTTAGTTTAGGTCTCAGGAATGTTGGTATTTATATTTTATTTGATATTAAATATCTAATGTTAACCTCACACCAGTAATGTTAGTTACATACAATTTCAGATAAGAATTCTTGATTCCCTAGTAAACTTTAGAATTTGGCTTAACATTACCTTTAAAAACATTTAAATAGATTATTGATCTAGAAACATTTAAAAGACAAACGTAATTGTGTTGATTAATGAAGCTATAATCACAGTGTTGTGATACACGTAATATATTATCTGGTTATCTTGACACCATATTTAACATATACCAGTCTTCGTTTGTTTTATAAAAAACCTTCAATATCCTGGCAAATCCATTCATGTGATTAGTTTAAGGAAATTCTGGTGAAATTTTGTACCATAAATGATTGAAAATGCCATCTTCATATCTAATTTTATTAAAAATTAGTTTTTCTGTTAAAATATATAGCAAGGTAGGACATTTAAATCTTAAAACCACATTTTTTGCAAATAACTTTTTATATAAAACAGCTCAAGCGACTTTTGGAGAGTTATCCTGCAAGTGAAGATTGTGCCAATCAATTTATGGTTTGTGATAGTATTAAGGTGATGTGGTGTCAAGACTATTCCATTATTTATACTTCTGTCGTCCCAATTTGGTGCTATATTATTATTTACCTAAAGGTAAGCATCATGTTTTGATCATGTTTTTATCATTCCAATCATGTTGTTAGCTAGATATTGTTCAAAGTATTGTTACAGTTTGTACTTATAAACCTACATCGTGAATTTAATGTTGCATACACCCAATGCAAGATATTGTTAAGCAGAATCTCATAATGCTAGTAAACCTCTCAAGACTGGCCTAATCTGATTTAGTCATACCTAATGATTAATTTTTTCATACACCAAATTCCAGTTTTCTAACTTTTGAATTCACTGTCATGATTTCACAACTCCCTAGATTAACTGGCTAAAAATAATAGTATTTAGAATCAGACATGGATGTGGGTGTTTCACCACAACTCACATAATACATTAAATATTGATTGATTTGTTGAACAATACTGACCATTTAAAGTAAAAAATGCCCCATAATTTGCATTGTGATATTTCTGTGATTTATTTGACTTTTAATTACAATGATCCAGTTTTAATGTCACAATATTAGGTTTATAATGAAGTACATGTATATTGTATATGTGTGTATTTAAACATGTATTATTTACATATTGTGATAGATATTGTTGATGTATTGTGACAAAGATCTGACTGATTTCATGAGCTGAGCAATAGAAACCATTCCCATGTAAAGATTCAGAAATTGGTCCAGCATATCATGTCACATCACCACCTGCCCCCCCTGCACCATTATAATTAGCTTGACAAGTCTGGTCTCACCCAATTTCTCACAAATTATATAAGTGATGATTGAATAGGACCAGAGCTGTTATGCTGATCTATAATATACTTTACATCTATTATAATAGAGGTAAAGTTGATGCCATAACATTCTAGTCAATTTCGAGTCTTTCTTCTTTCCTAAGCCAAAATAGAATGGTTTTACTGCATGCCCCAAAAGGTAAATTTCCTTTATATGCCAGTAGCAAATTTATGATATGAGAAGTGATGATGTATTTATTAGTTGAATAGGATGAATTTCAAGTTCAATATTTTCAGTCAATTTTACAGAAGCAATGCTTACTTTAAGAATTATTTATTATTTGTAGTGCTAGTAATAATGAGAAGATCATCCCTTTCTTGCTTACTTATTCTGTTTTTTTATTGTGACAGAATCTAATTGGCAACTTGAAAAAGTAAAATTGTCAACTTTGATTCCCACCATTAGGCTTACTTTTGCAAGTATAGCCTACGTCATTGATTTGAAAATAGGTTATTTATCTTGTTAGGCAACACCTCTTCCTGGCATAAAAGCAGCTCCCCGTGGTTAAATGATATGATTCATCGTTAGGGACATTTAGTTAGTACAGCTCCACATAACGTCTCTTTTAAAAATATCTTGTTAAATTTTGTTGTATAATTGTAGTGCGTATATGACTAGCTAGCTGTTCAAATAAATCTATTATATTTATACCAACATTTGCAATTATCCATCTTTCAAGCCATGCCATATGTATATCTATGTCGAGAATGTTTCACATGGCTGAGTTAAATACTTCTTCACCAGCTTGATTGCCCGATTACCCAAGGACTAGATCACAGCCTTGTGTGTTATCAATGGCTCAATGAGTTAGATTCTTGCTCACTAACCTGAAGGTCCAAGGTTCAATCCCGGCATAGTCCGAGATGATACCTTCGCATTTTTCAATCCGGTTTCCCCCATGTCAGTGATGCAGGTCGGAAGGGCTGACATGAAAAAAGCGCTTAGTCCTTCGGATATTTCAATAAACCGGGGCCCGTGTGCTACAGGCTGTGCACGTTAAAGACCCCTCGACAGTTGGAAATCGAAAATGTGCATGCTAATGCAGCTTCCTGGCAAAATTTCCCTCATTACACCCTGCATGGCGTTGCCTGTCTTAATTAGCCCACATGGTCCAGTAAAGTAGGATGTAAAACTCCATTTGATTTTATTTGTGTGTTTTGAATGCTCATGTTAAATATCCTTCGACTTTTAAGAATAGAAAGAGTATGCCAATAGTCATGGTGGGATAGCAGGATTAACTCAGATGCACATAAATTGGATTTGGACGTGAAACGTACAATGTATTTTTTCCGTTACTGGTTGATGTTTTCCGAGGGATATCGTGGTTTTCTCATTTCAATTAAATGATATCACCCGCAATGGATATTCTATTTCTAAGATATTTTGGGTAATAGTCTTAATGGTACTTCTCTTTAGAGGAGTCCACTACTATACTACTTTTACTCTCGATTTCGCCATACTTTGGAAGGCAATTGTCTTGCTTGTACAGATTCTTGTGTTAGTTGGGAACTTTTCACCTCTTTCCGTTGCACAAAATTACTCTTCAAGTACGAAGTATATAACGCATTGATAACCTTTGAAAGTATTTGTTCAGAGAAATCCTGTTCGAATTAAGCTAAATTCTATTTCTATAAAGACATCGTAAAAGATAATGTTGGTTTTATTTAACAATAAAAAGTATCACTTGTATTCCGGATTGACCTATCTACGATCTGTTAAAAATTATCACTTTAAAACATGTGGTTACCATGTGAGATCCAGATTTGAATGGAGGTATTTCAGTTCAACACCAGAATCAAATTATTTTCAAATAAACACTCCATTCTACAAACATTTGTCTGAGATAAAAAGAATTCTATTAGAAAATGCCGGAAGGTCACATAAAAATTGTTCAATTGATGTAAAATGCTGAATGCTATCAAACGTCTGTGTTTATTTTAGTTTTTTGGGAAAAAGTTTGAAATAATTAAGTGGTTATCTGACGGCACTTTTTATAGGATTTCAATTAATTTCTATCATTCAAGGAACCACTTAAGTGGGTGAAGTTTGACGTAAGTTCGTATCTTGAGTGTGGGCAACCAATTCTTAAACACACCGATACTTATCAACTATTTCACCATCTGACTAGTACAGACTTCATTCATTCTTCTTATTTTATGGTCTGTAGCCCGAAACTATTTTCTATCTGGAAGAAGGCTATGACCGTGAACAGTACAGGTCCGTAGCCAGCCAAGTATTTCTGGGTGGGAAGGAGGGGGATTGGCAAACGTCTAATCAAGGAGGGCAGTTTAGATATCCCCCCTCTCCCGTCCCGGAAAACTTTGTGAATTGTTATGCATTACAGTGGTGCTGTCTATAGAGTTATTGCTCTCTTTATTGCTGTCGAGCACGCCCATTGGAAGCCTGGAAACACTGATTTTCTGAAGACCTCCCCTAGAAAATTTTAGAGTATTTGACTCTCTGAAACGTGATTTCCTGACATCAAAGATTATTTGTATTAGGTCTGAGGATCTCGCCTAGAAAATTTTTAGAATTAGACGGAAACACGACCGTTAATAAGCCCGAAGGACTAAGGACTGAAATAAGAAAACGTTCCAAATGCTTTGTGACTTAAATAATAAATACGTTCTACAAAACTATCAATATGGATAGAATATCCTCCTATTTTGTTTCTTCATCGTTTACAGAAAATACCAATGAACAGATTATTATAAGAGTAAATACAAAAGTAGATAATATTAGTAGATCACAAATAACGGTAATAATAGAACCGTATTTATCTGTTTCCTTCTGTTTGTTAGCTCTTATTTCTTCTAATAAAGAAGAAGTCTTCTTTAACGACTGTCGTTCTGCCGATAGCTGACTATGTACAGATGTTCCACTGATAGCTGCTAGTTCATTCTCATCTATTTCTTCATCCCCATCATAGTTTATTAAAGAATGTGACCTTGATAAGTTGCCGCAATCTGATGCATCTGAAGTTTGACTATATTGAGATGGAGATACCTGACTATCATGGGTTCGAGATGACATTTCTTCAGCTTCAAGAACTAACGAATGGTAAGTTTCGTTGATTTCAGACATTTCAGATGCTCTATCATCCGTAGTTCCCAGAACTGCCTTTTGAAGCTTGCAAACAGTTACATAAGCGTCCTTCTTTCTGTTTCTTAAAGCTGATCCACCATAAGTACTCTTTATCTCTACAATAGAGTACGTTTATTGGTCGAGATAAGCAAAGATATGTCCCTAAGACAACAACGACTTTTGATTACGATTGTCAGTAGGAATTTGGAAATTTCCCTTATAAACTACAACTAAAGACATTGGAAAAGGAAACCTGCACGACTTAAAACTGTTAACCCTTAAACAGTTGTATAAGATGAAGATGTACTACTCTCCCTTTTATATGTACTACAATACACAATCATGATTATGTATATTGCAGTCGAACTAAATTTACAACTTTGCCAAACATTAATTATGTTAACAATCGAATCAAATTAATCATTGATAATTAATTTAGCACCCACCTGATATTTCCATGTCACCATTCCATAAAGCAGTATAAACTGTATCTCTTATTGGAGTTATTATGTATCTGTTTGATCTATCTTCCCATTTCATATTACCATCAGCAAATAATACCACCCATTTAAACTCCAATTCTTGTCCAGGTACCATTAATACTGGATAATAAATAAAATATACCTGGATGAGTTTTTGGAGACTAAATGCCTTTTTACCATAAAAACTACTAGACTGCATTATAACAATTGTTTTTTTAATGTATATGGACATTTAAATGTAATTTACTTTCTTATTTAGTACAAGAGAGCAATAAGATTATCAAAAGGATCATCATCTGAAAAGATATCAAATATCAGATATCAGATATCAACAGGTTCTTTTGTAGCTTTTGCCTTTGCTTTTTCTAGACTACTATTACTTGAGTACCTCACCTTCAGCTTCCCATGTTCCTTCTGGGTGTTGATTTGCTCGAAGACCTTTGTTAACATTCCATTCACCGAATTTTGGCAATGACCCCATCAGCGCTACTGCACTGCGATCATCACAGATATGATGTATTCTGAAAATAAGCCGAGACATTTTCGAAATGAAGTGAACGCCCATTAACTATCAAGAGATTCTATCCGTATTGGAAACAGTACTTTGACGTCCTATATTTATTGCTCTATTGTGACGTTATAAGGCCTTCGGTAACCTTATTAACGCAGTGTGAATTTATTTCCAGAAATAGAAAAACTAAAGTCACAGCGGCTTGTCTCCTTTGCACTGGCATTTTGGTATCAGAAATGTATTAAACTATTCATTGTATTGCAAAATACTATATTAAATAGCAAGAAAAATGGAGTACAGCCACACTATAATTCGAATGTCGATGACAAATTTGGCGAAAGGTTAGAAAATGTCAATTTTTGCGATTTCTAATAACCTTTTTTTCTGAAACACATTAGCCTAGTCCTTATATAAGACCCCCACCCCTCTCCCCTCCCCCCCCCACCCCTCTCCCCTCCCCCACCCCCACCCTACTGCTATTCAAATATTTTAAATTTATCTACTGACGTTAAAACACAATATATCTTGAGTACACGTTCGCAAATCATAATAACCTATACGCGATTTTTAACACAATATCAAATTGGTCCTATTTTGTGTCCTGTGTTTTCTCTGATACCATGACAAGAGTTAAGCAAATAAAGCGCCGAAAGGAATCGAGGATCAACCACCGACGTGACTACATATCAGAAAATTAAGTAAAGAATACTAAAAATGTCTCAGCAGGAGTTATGATATAAAGTCACTTCATCACTTCCATTTATCAAGATTTATTCCTTTATCAATACTCGAGTTTTTCTTGTGCCATATTTATTTCAGAAGTTTTATTTCTTTGAACTTAAATCTTACTTTACCAAGTTTTTATTTATCGTTTGAGATTGCCATGGTGTGGTGCATGAGTTTCATAATATTTACGGATGTATTGTTGTCATACTTAATTACTGCCAACATAAATGTACTTGAGCCTTAAAATTAAAAAGTTTTAGCCTAAAAATGGGACGTACTTATACTAGTTAGTAATATACTGATGCAATTGTTGGATTCAGAAAATTTGGTAGATACAATAGGTAGGGTTCAGACAAGTTGGTAAATATGATAGGTTGGCTTCAGACAAGTTGGTAAATATCATAGGTTGGGTTCAGACAAGTTGGTAAATACCATAGGTTGAGTTCAGAAAAGTTGGTAGATACAATAGGTTAGGTTCAGACAAGTTGGTAAATACCATAGGTTGGGTAAAGACAAGTTGGTAAATACCATAGGTTGGGTTCAGACAAGTTGGTAAACACCATAGGTTGGGTTCAGAAAAGTTGGTAGATACAATAGGTTAGGTTCAGAAAAGTTGGTAGATACAATAGGTTGGGTTCAGACAAATTGGTAAATACCATAGGTTGGGTTCAGACAAGTTGGTAAATACCATAGGTTGGGTTAAGACATGTCTGTAAATAAAATAGGATGGGTTCAGGCAAGCTGGAAATACCATAGGTTGGGTTCAGACAAGTTGTAGATACAATAGGTTGGGTTAAGACAAGTTGGTAAATACCATAGGTTGGGTTCAGAAAAATTGGTAGATACAGTAGGTTAGGTTCAGACAAGCTTGTAAATACCATAGGTTGGGTTAAGACAAGTTGGTAGATATAATATGTTAGGTTCAGACAAGTTGGTAAATACCATAGGTTGGGTTAAGACATGTTTGTAAATAAAATAGGATGGGTTCAGGCAAGTTGTAAATACTATTTGGATGCGCACAGTTTGTAGCATCTTACAGATACAATAAGTTGAGCTCAGGCAAGTTTGTAACAGATACAGTATGTTGGGTTCTGACAAGTTTGTGGCACCGTACAGATACCATTAGATGAGCTCAGACAAGTTTAAAATAGCATTCAGATACAAAGGGTAGGTTCTGACAAGTACAGATACAATAAATTGGGCTCAGACAAGTTTGTAGCAAAGGGTTGGGTTCTGATATCTGATAGATACAAATTGGTTTAAACAAATTGATAGTAACGTACAGATACAATAGTTTGTGCTATGGCACATACAGACACAAAAAACTGTGTTTAAACAATTTGTTTTGTTACTGTACGGTAATTCTAACTTGTTTGCAAGTTCAGACAGCCAGACAGTTAGGCAAATCCAATGCCGAATTTTAGAGATGACAGTGACAATGATGACGAGTATGACAATGTGCCACTATCTGTGTTCAGAAAATCTAAAGAACTCTTCGATTTTCGTTCGAGAAGTTGCCAGAACTTGACGATTATGCTACATGTGACCAATCACCAGTTGATTGGAGAAAAAGTGCGAAGGATTTATCAGCGGAAGAAATGGATCATAGTGATAATGAAATTGAGAATGTCAGTTCAGTTCTGTGATTTGAACATGCTTCAAACAGTCATGAATTTAAAGGAACTGACTGTAATAAAGAAAATTAATAGAGGCAGGAAACACACCTTGATGCAGTGCTAATTACATTTACATGTAATATGAATATAATTATTATTGTTATTATCATGTAATGAAATAAAATGATTGAACTAGCAAATTGCCGACTTTCTCTCCTAAGAGATCATCCCTTGAGTGGTCTCTTAATGCAGGTTTTACTTTCTAGAGCAGATTCTATCATGTCTTGTCTGATGCAATAATCAGACTGGTATTATATTAAATATTCTTAGTTGCAAACATCACAATACCATACCATCAGCCGTACTACAGTAAATATAAAAAAAAACTTGACAAAACGTTATATCAGCCGAGGACACCCTGAACTGCTAGTACAATTTGAACCATAATCTTGAAAAAAAAACCGTAATGTAATATATCTCATTTTATCAACTTTATTCGCAATACTAGTCACCTGCAGATCATTTCAAGATTATAACTGATCATTCTCTCATTTTAATATTTTAAATTCTGTAAGCACATATTTATCAATTTCACGTCAAAATACTGACATGAAGGATTACAATTATAGACTCTTGCTAGAGAAGATATTGTCGCTTAAAATTGGGGTTCACCTTCTGCATATCTGAATAACATATCATATTCGTTTAGAAATTTTATTTTACAAGCAATGTTATAGGGTTTATGAATCACTTCCATGTAAATTCATCACTAACCCAAAAAGTAATAGAATTATCACAATAGAATAGAAATAGACAGTGTTTACAGACTAAAGTATCCAATGATTTGATCATTTTGAAATCTGATGTGTTCTTTATCTTCAATTGATAATTTTACTGGCCTTTAACAATACTTGTTTGCTCACTTTCACTTCATTAACATTTATGTTGAGAATCTTTCGCAGTTTAAAGTGGTTTTGGTGGTGTATGTAAAAATGTTATCGTGATGTAAAATATTGCTTTAACCACTAACCATCTGAATCGTTTGTAATTTATTCTCAGTTATCGGTAGAAAAACTACTCTGGAACTCTTGTTCATTTAGAAAAGGATTTTATTATCTGTGTTATCTGTTTTGTTATTGATTACAATTTGGACAGTCTTTCTATAATCTAATGTACATGTCACTCACAAGTGTTTTGGTTAAGACGGGACATAAAGAATCACCTTGCGTCATTCCATTATCTATACTCTTAATGTTGAGACATTGTTTGTTATAAGAAACCAGAATTACGTGTACCACTTGAAATGAAAGAAAGGCACCAACGTGTGGAATATGCACAAATATGCGGCAATTACGTTACAGTTTTCCACTTATCAATGAAAAAAAAATTAAATTGTGCCTCGTGTTTTGTGTATCTCTTGTCGTAACCGACCGCCCAAAATGTCAAAAAGGCGAATAGATATAAAAGAAAGAAACAATTTGGTTAATATCAGTGAAGAATTCCGACCCATATCTTAACTCGTTTAATAAATCGAGTGGACAACGCCTTCTCTATGGATTATTGGCGCCATAACGATTCCAATCTCATCTAATCATGGCAGTTTGTCTATTATTTACATTCGTCACGACTTTCATGTTCTTGAAATTATCAAATGCTCTGCCCACTTGGGACCTCTCCGACCTGAATATAACCCGTGGTTTAAGTTTAGATGGTGATTATGACAGGTACACTGTGGGTGAATATGGAGAGTATGGGGATTACGATTATCAGGATGAAGTGTTAACAGATTTAACAGATAAACATGAAACTAAAGATTTTAATTTTTTGACAGGATTACCAGAATTAGAAGTGCACCTTCCAATCGATGTTCCACTGACTGAGGAAAAGACAGATGGACCAATCGAACAGGAGTTATTCTTTGAAACAGAAACGTTACGTCTCCGAACTCCACCACGGAAAGCTCCGGAATATATGTTGGATTTATATGATTTATTTTCCAAAGAGAAGTTTACACATCCGTCAGCTAATATTGTTAGAAGTTATATGAATATTAACGACGAAGGTAAGAATCATATATACATGCATGTACTAAGATAGAGTTATGACAGATGGAACTGGTGTGTCAGGGCATATTTACCATTACAGTGTTTGTTTAGATTTTTTTTCTGATTTTCAAAATAGCTGTTACATTAATCAATTTGCAGCAAACTAGCGTTATCTCTCTTTTTATTACTAGGTGCATTCAACAGAGCAAATATTCATGTTTCTTGTTTTTCGAACAGTTTGCCTAAAATAATGGAAATCTTGTATTATTTAGAGTAACATAACCAGGAAAACGATGATTTTGGCGATTTCTCATATATAGAAATTAGGACCGATTAAAACCACAACAATATTATTTCGTTTGCGTATTCCAGAATTTGAATGGTTAAAAAAAAGTCATATTTAAACTACGCCCAGTTACCTAAAATTTCAAAACAAATAATAAATTCTACATAGGTTTAAGATTCTTTTCAATACAATTGCGCACATTTAGAGGGCGTCAAAAACTCAATCAGAACAAGTCCGGAATATATTTCCACTATGATGTTAGAAATAGACTCTATTCTCGCTAGTAGTTACTAAAATCTATAATATAGTGTTTGTGAATTTAGCTACAATTGGCAAGTAGGCCTACTAGCTTCTAATTCTGTTCCCGATAATAAATCTATGGTGAATGATGTAGGTTTGGCCTGGATCAGAAGAAATGCAAGAATTATTTGGAAGAAAACATATACAATTTCACACTTACTAAAAGCTTAATATTTCCACTGAATTCGTGGAAAGAATATTATATATTTCCGTCCTTGTATATCGTCCTTTTAATCTGTAAAACTGTTACCGATACCAAACTTAATTCAATCTTGAATAATTTACTAATGACAGATTTTTATACCCGTGAAAGGAAAATATTTTACAATATCATCATTCACCACCTTTCCATAGGAGTAAGTAAGTTAGCACATTCTGAAGGGAAGTCATTCAGTGGAACATTTGGTGTAACCACAGCATAGTCTAGTGAATGACGTAACCACATCATTTCACATGGTGAGTTTTATGAATCACTATACTTTTGGGTGTTAATCTTTATTTAGTAACTTCAATTTGATAACTACATTATAGAATTAAAAATTCAAGATAAAATAGATTGAAATTGGTAACACCACGTGCAGCTTAATTGACCAGAAGTGCTGAAACTCACGTTCACTTGTCTGCAGGATATCTAGTATATAACATTATATCTTATTTTCTCACAATAATCGTCATAATACAACCATTATTCCTACTTTCAATTTGTCAAAATAATAACTAGTTAGATAAGGCTTATTGCAACCGGAAATACATTCTATCTACTGCTGCACCTGAGTAATATATCATTACAAGACCACACGAAGGTGAACCGAAATCAACCTAAAAGATTCTTTTTGACACGTTACATTTCGAAAAATACAGGCTTTAAAATACCAGAAATCGTCAAATGGCTCACCTTATTTTAGTTAGATAATGGGCTTTGGTGTATTCAGGAAGGATATTTTGATATTTAGATAGTGATATAAATTTACCATGCAAGGATTGATGAATGATGAGATAGTGACGCGAAAGAGAGTCTAGATGCCGTATTTCTTGTCTCAGTTGCTCCTCTCCTGTCAAGTTTGCTAATACTTGGACTGCTTTTTTTCTTTGGACTTTACTTTAATGTGCACTGTGGTCGTGCTGTTGGCGAGTTTTCTGCAATTTTTGTTTTTTTTTCTGATGCAGGTCTATGATTTGTGATATAAAAAAAGGTTCTTAATGCACCGAAACGCCATGTGAGATTTCGATAAAATTCCAGAAATGATTTAGGTGAAATTTGAATTAAAAATAGAATTTCTAGTTATTTAAAGCCACCCCCAATCTGTGATAAGTACGATAAAGAAAGTTAAAAGAACATTATCTCATAGATAGGTCAATAACATTGTTTAAGGGAAACATTCTACCATTTTAAGGGATACAAACCTATAATAATCTACTGTCACAATTCACTTTTACTTCTCCTTGACAATTACTACATGTATAATTTTCGTCCCATCTTGGAAGATATCTTGTACCTACCACGATTTGGAAACGTACACTTCCATCACTTCCACCAGAATGTTTTTATTGCATCATTGACGAACGATACGTTTGAATCATATTCCTTTAAAACTAATATTCAGGGGGGTATATACCTTTCAAATTACAAAACATAAATGAAGAAGAGAATGACTTAACTTTATATTAGTTATATAATTTACTTTTCTTTTTCTTCTTTCAGACGAAGAGATTGGTGGATTGACCGGAAGTAAACAATTACCTGGGAAAAAAGCCAGAATCCACAGATTAGCGTTCAATATTACGAGTATGACGTCAGACGAGGATATCATTTTAGCTGAATTACGTCTGTATACACTGGTCGTAAAGGATAGGGGGATATATGTGGGCGTTGACCGGAAAGTTTCTGTATTTGAAATGATAGACAGATCGTCACCGGAAGTGGAACAATTTGCAGTAATTTCAGAAAAGCATGTATATGGACATGACAATGGATGGGAGGTATTTGACGTTACATCTGCCGTGAAACGTTGGGTTGTTAATATGAGTTCTGTACAGATTTTAGAGGTTAGAGTAGAAAGTGTGTTTTCAGAAGAAACCGAGGGCGATATGGATATAGACGTCAATCCGTCCCATCAAAAAGATCCCCTTCTTGTCGTCTTCTCTAATGACAATGACATTAAACACCAACACGACACTGAAATACGAGAATTTATGAATTACGAAATAAAAAGTGAACAAAACTTTGCAGCTTCTATAAAAGAGTATACAGATGGTTCCGAATTAGAAATTTCTAACTCTACATTAGCGTTAAGTCGTGTAAAAAGAAGCCGAAGAAATAGAAGAAACAGTTGTAGAAGAAAACCTATGATGGTTGAATTTAGTAAAATTAATTTAGATAATGTGATAATCGCCCCCCATCATTATATGGTAAGTAAGGGTTTTGGAAAGTTAAGCTACTAATAAACATAGATGTGATTTCTTCACAGGTGAAATTCTCAAAAACCCTCACCTAGAAGAAAATCACATCTGTATATCACATCCGAGGAACCGGTAGTTCAATCAGGCTATGACAAACAGTGTCAGTGATAATTCAATCCTTTAAACAACGTTTTATTTCTCACCATGAGGTGAACTTTTTAGACAATCAGTAATCTGAAAACAAAATGTAACATTTCCCATCCATTTCTCACACATGATATACATGTATAAAAACACTAGAACAGATTTGAATACAGCAATCTGAATATCAAACATTATCAATTGGCAATGTTCAATGATAAAACTGACATAACAGTAAAAGTCACAGACAGACAAAAAACAGTTGTAGATTTCATTCAGAAGAGCATGTGCCATTTTATATGGTAGTAGACGATAGACAATGAGTCTTTTATATTCATATTCTTTCATTTATGGGAATGAGGATAATCTAACCAAATAGACAGAGAGATAAGAGGGTTTTTGAAAAAAAATTAATTCGTTGAAAAATCTCGAAAGTTGCACTCAACTACTGTCTAGAAATTAGTTTTAGTTGAATTCGAACGCCAGCCGGCAAACAGTTCAGTACAGTCTTAAACCTCAGCGTTGATGATAATGTAGGCTAAAGCTTTTTTTTGCTAAAAATCGCCCTCTGTTAGAATACGCGTTGAATTTACCAACAAGACAGTAGGTCTAAGTTCTCCACAAAATACATAATCATCGTGTATTAAAAAAAACTGTTCATCTAAAAATGACAGTCAAAATCATCCATGACTTCATTGATATACACAACTTTACAAAAGTCAAAATCGTCTCTATTGCATTCGAATTTGGACGCATTGCGGTTTAATCAAGGCTAATAACTCATTATCGTTCCATGGAAAATTGTGTATTTCCAGTCAAGTGCATAGAATAGAAACAGACTGGTACAGCTGTACCTCACACCTGTTAATTATTTGAGACATAACGAACACTTTAGGATTTCTTTTATCGAGTTGTTTTGTCTGTGTGCGGCCATTGTCCCTCATGGCCATGTATTCTCGAGACGATCTTAGCGCTAGATATCCTAGGGTCTTAATTTCTATCACTCTTTCTAGGATATCCTAGCGCTAAGATCGTTTCGAGGTTTACGTCCGAGAGGGGGCGAATCTAGTTATGAGATTTTTGCCCGAAAATATTGCTTTCGGGGTGCCCCCTCTGCCCCCATTTTGGCTCCGCCACTGGGCAAGAGGGACAATGGCCCGCACACAGACACAAGTCTGAGATACGATAATTTTTAAATCCTGTCCGATTTTCATTTTTCATTTTGGGAAGGTCTGAGGAGCTAAATCGGACTAAAAGATTATGGGCATAAATTTTATAGTCAAGGACGCCAGGAAACTGGCACATGATGGTTATAGATACAATAATAACAATACAATTGGACTTTGTTTATGTCTATGATTCTCTAAATGTTTCAATCCGATGGAGATATCCCTCTTAGGCTGTCAGTCAACACTCGTAGATTATCCTTATGTCCCGTTTTAAGGTAACTAATTTGATTTTTTATTTCCAGTCAAGTGCAATTGCTCCAAAACCGCCAATCCAATCAATACCAACTACGAACCAGTCCAATATAATATCACCACTATATAAAAGCATAGACTATTATACAAAATCATTCAATATCATTCTAGATCACACTATTATACCAAATCATTCAATATCATTCTAGATCACACTATTATACCAAATCATTCAATATCATTCTAGATCACACTATTATACCAAATCATTCAATATCATTCTAGATCACACTATTATACTAAATCATTGAATATCATTCTAGATCACACTATTATACCAAATCATTGAATATCATTCTAGATCACACTATTATACCAAATCATTCAATATCATTCTAGATCACACTATTATACCAAATCATTCAATATCATTCTAGATCACACTATTATACCAAATCATTCAATATCATTCTAGATCACACTATTATACTAAATCATTCAATATCATTCTAGATCACACTATTATACCAAATCATTCAATATCATTCTAGATCACATTATTATACCAAATCATTCAATATCATTCTAGATCACACTATTATACCAAATCATTCTAATATCATTCTATATCACACAAATGTACAAAATAATTAAATCCCATTCGAGATCGCACAAACATACAAAATCATTCAATCTTATTCGAGATCACTTAAACATACAAAATCATTCAATCTTATTCGAGATCGTTCAAACATACAAAATCATTCAATCTAATTCGAGATCGTTCAAACATTCAAAATCATTCAATCTTATTCGAGATCCCACAAACATACAAAATCATTAAATCTCATTCGAGATCACACAAACATACAAAATCATTCAATCTCATTCGATATCGTACTTAGAACATACAAAATCATTCAATCCAATTCGAGATTACACAAACATACAAAATTATTCAATCTTATTCGAGATCCCACAAACATACAAAATCATTCAATCTCATTCGAGATCGATCAAACATACAAAATCATTCAATTTCATTCGAGATCCCACAAACATACAAAATCATTCAATCTCATTCGAGATCCCACAAACATACAAAATCATTCAATTTAATACGAGACCACACAAAGATTCAAAATCATTCAATCTCATTCGAAATCCCACAAACATACAAAATCATTCAATCTCATCCGAGATCCCACAAACATACAAAATCATTCAATCTCATTCGAGATCGCACAAACATACAAAATCATTCAATCTTATTCGAGATCACGCTAACATACAAAATCATTCAATCTCATTCGAGATCACACAAACATACAAAATCATTCAATCTTATTCGAGATCACACAAACATACAAAATCATTCAATTTTATTCGAGATCGTTCAAACATACAAAATCATTGAATCTCATTCGAGATCACACAAACATACAAAATCATTCAATCTCATTCGAGATCACACTAACATACAAAATCATTCAATCTAATTCGAGATCACACAAACGTACAAAATCATTCAATCTTATTCGAGATCCCACAAACATAAAAAATCTTTCAATCTTATTCGAAATCACACTAATATACAAAATCATTCAATCTTATGCGAGATCGCACAAACATACAAAATCATTCAATCTCATTCGAGATCCCACAAACATACAAAATCATTCAATCTAATTCGAGATCGTACTAACACACAAAATCATTCAATCTAATTCGAGATTACACAAACATACAAAATCATTCAATCTCATTCGAGATCCCACAAACATACAAAATCATTCAATCTAATTCGAGTTCGTACTAACACACAAAATCATTCAATCTAATTCGAGATTACACAAACATACAAAATCATTCAATCTCATTCGAGATCGCACAAACATACAAAATGATTCAATCTCTCAAGTGTGATCTCGAATGAGTAATAATCGGAAGAAATATTTCAGAGTTATTGCCCTTGACTTAGTAAAAGCGCGTCAAAATTGCCTTGTAGACACGATAGAGAGAACAGGTTTATCTGATCTTGATGAAACTTGATATACATCTATATGTTGATGAGATCTCGGCCAAGTTTGTAATTTGTAATAATCGGATGGCCGGTTTCAGAGTTATTGCCCTTGACTTATTAAAAACATGTCAAATTTGGCATGTAGGCACGATAGAGACAACAGTTTATAACTGATCTTGATGAAACTTGGTATGCATGTATACATTGATGAGATCTCAGTCAAGTTCGAAATTGGTAATAATCGGATGAACAGTTTCAGAGTTATTGACCTTATGTGTGTACAGCAATGAGACATTGTTCATGTTTGAATTTGATGATAATTTAATGAATTGTTTCATGTTTTCGCCTTGACTTATAGATGATTTTAAGATTATTTGAAAATTCATTATTAAGCCACTAAAGATTTTGTGGGCGTGTGTTACCTTGCCTGGCAAGATATCTTTAAGGTTGCCGTTATAAAACCTGCTTCCATCTACCTATTTGTAGATAAAGAGTTCATTCTTGACCAGCATTAAACTTCGCATCACGATATATCTGTTGACCACCCAAATGGGTAGATATAATGTCATCTGCCTCCTCTGAAAATTCAAAGAATGTCAATAAATCTATCTTGAAGGTCTAAAAAAGTTAATTATGTCCCCAGGTCACAATGCCAAATGTCATAGTTTATTTTCAAAAATAAAACAGAAATCATATGTTCAATTTAACAAATGAAACATTTTATGCTTATCATGAATAGAAACAGACTGGTACAGCTGTACCGCACATCTGTTAATTATTTGAGACATAACGAACACTTTAGGATTTCTTTTACTGAGTTGTTTTGTCTGTGTGCGGTCATTGTCCTTCATGGCCACGTATTCTCGAGACGATCTTAGCGCTAGGATATCCTATAGGGTCTTAACTTCTATTACTCTTTCTCGGATATCGAAGATCGTTTCGAGGTTTACGTCCGAGAGGGGGCGAGGGAGGGCGAGATATCTGAGATTGCCCGAATCTAGTTATGAGATTTTTGCCAAAAAATATTGCTTTCGGGGCTGCGAGGGGGTGGGACTGCCCGCTCTGCCCCCATTTTGGCTCCACTACTGGGCATGAGGGACAATGGCCGCACACATACGCAAGTCTGAGCTACGAGAATTTTTAAATCTTGTTTTTTTTTTTCTTTTTCTTTTTGTGGAAACTGCCACTTTCTGATCCGCTGTCAAGTTCTTTGGCACATGATGGTTATAGATACAATAATAACAATACAGTTGGACTTTTTATGTCTATGATTCTCTAAATGTTTCAATCCGATGGAGATATCCCTCTTAGGCTGTCAGTCAACACTCGTAGATTATCCTTATGTCCCGTATTAAGCTAACTAATTTGATTTTTTATTTCAGGCTTTCGAATGTATTGGAAAATGTTATCTACCAATAGGAGAACATTTATCACCAACATTACACGCTATCATTCAGACTAAAATGCACGCGTACAACCAAAGAAAGCATGCTCGTGCATGTTGTGTGCCAACAAGACTATTACCGATATCAGTATTGTATTATGATGAGAATAATGTTATAACGTTTAAACATAAGTATGATGATATGGTGGTCGGGGAATGTGGATGTCGGTGACCATTCGGAACTGTTACTTTTGTCTAAGGCAATGCAATTCGATTGGCAGAGTAAAACATCGAAATGAGTACACCAAGGAGTAGTTTCAGTATTATTCCTGTAATGTATCATGGAAGTAATACATCCTTCAAATCCAGATATATTAGATAACAAAGTTATTTGTAATAGATGACTAACAGAAGATGCAACAAGCTGTATTATGTGTTCACATCGGCCTATTATACATGTCGTTTTTTTTATCATCGAAAACATTATAATTATAGTATTAATTAATGTGCATACTGATGCATGCGAACCATTTTATCATTGTCTACTATCGGCGATTTTAAGATGTGTGAATGTCGTCTTGGAAATCAGGTGAGTTATTTCCCTTGAATGTGATTAGCTGTTGTGGTGGGAATGAAAAACACTAATAACAGAATCGAGTAGGACTTATGCGTTCATGTGCCTAAAACCATTGTTCACTTTATGTAAATATTCATTGTGTTTGTTTTATTTTTTATAAATTTGTTTAATGGGATGATGCGAGAGCGATATACTTCTTTTTATGAGAACCATATATTACAAAAGAAACAGATATAGTGAATGCAAAATTCGTATACCATATCTACAATACACAAGTTGTTAGATACGCTCACATTTCATATTGAATAAATGTACATTTTTTATGAAATAATTGTAAATAGCTACATAATTGCATATTAAGGGATCAGTTGCCGCATCATTTGCGATACTGGGGAACACTTGACCCCAAAAAAATATCTTGTTCCCCTCCCTCATTTCATTTCTAAGAAATTTCAAAATATAATTTGTTTAGCCTATCTTGTTGCCCCAAAATCAAAATATTCGTCAGAATGCACAAAAATTATTCCATTTCTAAAAAAAAAAGAATTCTGGGGGACTTAGAACCCCAATTGAGGTCACCTAATTAACTCAAAGTAAGTTCCATCTTGAAGGCTAAAGCATTACTTTGCATTTGGTGAAGGAACGCTGAACCTACTTTATGCTGTTAGGTGTGTTATGTCATAGGGTTCTGTAATGTACATTATTTTGGTGGTAAAATATCTAAATTTCTCTCTGTGTAACTTAACATATAAATATGGACACAAGTTCCTCTTGTATGAGACACTTTAGATTATGGACATTGACAGGGGGTGTTTATTAATCATGCACAGTGGGTTGATGTAAATTCGGGCTGTTTCAGGCCACATTACATTGTTGTTTATGGTTGATATATTATTGTAAAAGGAGTATTAATGTTATCTGTATGGCATGTTATATATAATCTAAGTTGTACATTATTTATCTGTAACATGTAACTTGTCACATTAAAATTAAAACACGTTTTCTATCCTGCATTCCTATTGATAGAATTTCTAATAGTGCAGCTGTCTCTAGAAGTAATAATTGATATTAATGTTGGCTGTTTTGAATATTCTTTGTTTTCTCCCCTGAATTATTGTATCCAGTAAGAGAACATGAAGGAATTAGACTGTCATGTATGATAATACTTTCAGTTCAGTTCACGTGAATAACATAAAAAAAAACACACACACACACAAACCCTTTTTCAATTTCAATGTTTAAAGTGGGAACTGTACTTTGTCGAAAAAGCAACACACAACACAAACAACAATGAAGATGTTTAAAATGAAATGAATGGAGTTTTACGTCCCACTTTTCTACACTATCATGAAGATGTTTCAGCAGAAAGTAAGTCTAGACTCAAAACTATGTGAATGTTTTTACCTATATTACAAATGGTTAATATCTTTCTGAAATTTCCACATTTGTTTGTTAGTGCTTACGACTTACCAACTTAAGCAGATTTAGTCCGTTAGATTATATTCTACCTTTCAACGTGAAGAGAGAGACGATTGGTGTCACATATTTCTCATAATTTTTGTGGCAAATATGCCAAACATGCTGTTGGTGAGTTGCTTGATGTTGTTAAGCTCTAATCAAGATTCGATTAAATAAATCAAATACTAACGATCCGATCCGCAAAACAAAATAGTGACCCGACGGATCAATTTGAATAGTGCAAGGGAGGTAACTGATATAATATTTGTGGAGTAAGACCGGTAATTCATTTGCCATCTTTTTCCATGTTAAATCAAGAAATTCAATTTTCTATAACTTTTTTCAGTAATCTTATTGGAATCTGTGCAATATGTCACACGAAAGCCTGGCCAATACTTAGTTTCTGGATAAAAAATTCAATATATCTTGAGCTAATCTAAATGAAAGTAGATCACTACATTTTTATCAACAGCCGCTCGACTGCCACTGCACATAAAACAACTATTATTAATATTATTAAAACCTGAAAGAAAATGCAAATTCAGACATCAAATTCCAAACCTAGATCAAAAAGAAGTTGAAAATGGGCATACGAAAACCCCAAAAGGGAGGGAGGCAGAGGATTGCTAAAATTACTCCTAACTAGGCCAAGCATTTGCATAAAAAGTTTTAGTACAGCTCCAGGGAGAGAACTGATCACAAAAATCAAATTAAATAGATAAAAAAAAATCTTACAAACATGCACAACAATGAGGAAACATTTCCTGATGACGAAAAAAGTGTCGTTGATATTAGACAGTTCCACTTTAAGATAAAGTAATGTGAGTCGACTCAATAGAAATAATATTAATATGGCAATTTCACATCTCAACCTGTGCAAAAACTTTTTGATAGTATGTCAATCAAATAGCCTAGTTATATGGCAATACGATGAATTTAAACCAGCTTATTCTAAAATTTAAATCAAAAGTCTAGAAATCTCAATATACAAAAACTAAACTAAACCACATCATGAAACAGTAATCAATGAAAACAATATTTTGATAAGAATATTTAGGGCTAAATTAGGACCTTTTTATTTTTTCTTATCAACTATATGGTAAAACCATCATGTTTTCAAGAATTGTCTGTATGTGCCAGTGTTCCGGGGATTTAGAAGCTATATCTGGTTTAGTGGTTTGAGAACTATAACCACCAGTAGTTTGGGTACACCTCGGGTTTTGGGGGTGAGTACCTGTTAAGTAAATTCTAAAGTAAATGTGATCAACTACAGAGTAATAATGCAACTATGAATCAATCTCTGATCAAACAACCTTAACTTTATTTCTAACTCTTTTCCTCAGGTTTCATTAGAATACAGACTCATCATTCCACGACTTTAATCCCTTAAATCTAATTGTGACCTGCAAGTTGCTTAAAATCGATGAAAACAATTTGAACCAGTGATTGGGGATAGCAAGACCTTTTAGCTTGTCACGTAACGCATAATAACAAATACAAGTTTTTGCCTTTTGCTTCACTTCTCTGATAATCACATTGAGCAAGTCCATTACTAAACTTAGAATTTTTTCTTCAGCTTCGTGATCCCAGTTTTAATGTAGAATTTTTATTGAGTTTAATGGAAATTGGTAAAAAGATCTGACATCTTGAAGAGTTTATGTAACTCTGTTCAATAAGCTGATGTCTTAAGAAAATAAAGGTAAATGTTATGTAATGTATAAAAATATTAATTGATTTATTCAATTGTTTTAAACTAATCCATGTACTGTTAAAATCTCTGTTGCAATAACAACCATTCATTATTGTGTTTATATTAATTCGCCAACAATACTTTTTGTGATAGCAAAGTTTTTGTTCCTTTCATTAAAAAAAGGTTTAAAGATTTCATCAAAATGCGTGAAGATTGAAATGTTAATATTAAGCCAGGTAAATATTTTACCGCCAACGGACAAGGAATAAAAAAAATCAATGCAATTTGAACTAAAAGTTTGTCGTTTTCTCTGTGGCTATGACGAGTATTCAAGAAATCTCAAAATCAAGTAAAGAAGCCATTGATCTGAGTTCGTGCAAATTGTGAATTAAATGAACGTGGCCAAATTCAAGCATGGTCGAAAGTGTTTTGTGATTTGGTCTAGTTCCATACATGCATTTCAGTCATTTGTGAAATATATACTAATCAACACAAAATCGGTGTTATACCTTTACATTTGAGATTAATGTCCGCTCAATTAACCTATATTTCTTGCGGAGTGAAGTAATTTTTTAACGTTTCAGAAAAGAATTGAGGAGGCTTGGCAGGTAATGGCATCTTTACTTAAAGATATTTTTCATTTGTTAACGACAGTATTTTAGGTGTTATCTGAACTTCATTAGCGACATCTCAGGTTATTGCAATCTGACAGTACAAGTTAAATCTTCTTATATATTGAACAATGAGACAGCAGTAACATGATTAAACTAACATTATTCTCACATAAAAAAATAAAAACACTTTTATCATCAATCACACCAACATGTACACTTCATGTTACACTTTCTTTTTTATCTTCATACACAATTTCTTACGGTTATTGTCTATGTATCTCATGCTTTGTATTACCATCTGTAATCTTTACACGCAGATCGTGTTCATATGTTGTTGGAAGTCTATTTTTTTTTAAATAAATAGATTCGTTTATGTGTACGAAAAGTTGACCACACAACATAATATGAAGAGTAAGAAATATTGAAACTTTATTGAAATTTCAGGTTAGAACTGTTAATTTCTTTTTACCAGATGAATAAATCAATCTGAATAAAAGTAGATCCACATATCTTGTCAATTTTTGCAGGTTGGATTTCTCAGATAAGCAATTCTGTGACTTGGCAATATACTTAAACCAATGTTAGACGCTGGCGTGGCCATAAAGTACAACTATAAGTCACAAAGCAATTGGTCTCTAGAAATGGAAATAACTAGGTCCCCATTGAAAAAATTAGGATATCAGATATCGTAAGGTGGGCGCTATTGTCGCTAATAATCGCCGTTGAGATCGCCACGGAATGTCTTTAGACAAGCGCCGTAACATCTTCATAAACGCAATGAAAAGTGCACCATTGATTTCACGGAATCGAGAATGTCTTTAGACAAGTGCCGTAACATCTTCATAAAGGTAATGAAAATTGCACCATTGATTTTATTAGAAACGAGCCCCTGA